GGGACAGTCCCCTTCGGGAATGGGGACAGTTCCCTTCCAGAGTGTGGAGCGGGAAGAAGGCACCGGTGACAATGAGGGAAATCCAGAGCGAGTCCCCAGCCTCAAACTGCTTTAGCATGGGAGCAGTTTCACAGCCCTCATCTGGAAGCACATGCTCGGGCCATATCCATCATCCAGGCCAGAGCAGGGATGAGGGAGAAGAACCCTTTTGTAAGTGTTGGCCAGGGGAAATATGACTTATCTTGGAGAAATGAATCATGTTTCAGCGAATGCTTCCTGCAGAAATATTTTTCTCACAGCCTTTGTTCGGGGTTTTGGCAGATCTGGAGTCTGCTGGCGTTAGCAAAAGCCATCGCTCCCACCCACTGCTCCTGGGGCTGGAGTAGGAAATAAGGAATAAAGGCAGAGGGGACGTGGAAGGCTAAATCCATCACCACTGCCTGCAGCAGGATGTGGAGCTTAGAGGAGAATTTCGGAGGAGATCCCCGGATAAAGCCCAGCAGAGCCGAGTGCTTGGCTGCTCTTGTGAAGGTACCTGTGCTGGGCAGGCAGCTTGGAATTCTGACACTGGGGGGACAAATCCCTGTCGGGTGCTGGGGCTTGCTGGAAATCAGCCCTCAGTTCCTCCTTTCTCTCCTGAAAACCAGCATTTTGGGAGGGGGAAAGGGTGGTGTCTCCTGTTGCTATGTGTGGTTAGCCCCAGAAAATGAAAAGAAAATGAGAGAAAAAGCCGTGTTTTGACATGCAAATCAATCCTGAGCTCCTTTTCTCCTTCTCCAAAGGCTTTGACAGGGATCCTGTCTGCCTTCCCACCATTCACAAACATTGCTCTGGGTCACAGCTCGGGAGGGGAGGAAGGAAAAATGTCCATCTTGGTTCTGGAGAACTTCAAGGATTTTTCTTCCCAGTGGTAGGGAATTTTTCCTGGGAAGGCAATTTCATTCCTGGGCCTGGTAGGCTCCCTGATCATTTTAAAACAGACCCCTGAGGGGAATAAGGCCTTTAAAAGCTCCATTTGCTCCCAGCTATTTTACACAGTAACCCAAGCTGAAGTGAAGGATCTTTATTTAAATATGAATTAAGCCCCAACCTTCCCCTTTACTGCGTTATTTGCCTTTGAGGTTTACTTTGATATTATTTCAAAGTCTTGAAGCTAACAAAATGCTGGCCCATATTTAAAATGACAGGAGAGTTCTGGAAAAAGATTTAGGAGGCAACTAAAGTCTTTCAGTGCAGGGCTCCGAAACAGGACAGGAAATCATAAAAAGGCTGAGTGCACTTTACCAAGCTCCAGACAAACCCTGAGACTACAAAGGCGAGGGGAATGGCATCAAGACCACAAAGAGCATCAAGATGCAGCTGAAAAACCTGGAATTATTCCGTTAAAACACGGGCAGAATGCTGGCAACAGTGGAATCATGGAACCATGGAATGGCTTGGGCTGGCAGCGTGGTTGAAGATCACCCCATCCCACCCCTGCCATGGGCAGGGACACCTTCCACTATCCCAGGTTCCTCCAAGCCCCAAAGTCCAACCTGGCCTTGGGCACTTGCAGGGATTCCAGCCACAGTTTCTCTGCCAGGGCCTCAGTCGGTGCTGTTTGTTTCTTTCTGTGGTGTAGTTGAGCAGCTTTTGCCACTTTGGGGCTGCAAGTGGGAGAAAGGTTTAAAGATGAGACATAAATGTGTGATTTTTAATGTAAAGCAAAGAGGCCGTGTCTGAGTGGGCTGTGTCCTCCCGGTGCTGACCTCTCCTTTTGCTTCCCATCTCTTCCCAGCCATCCATCTGCTGCTGGAGCAGCTTTTGTCTGCCTGAAGCATCACAGAACCCTTTAGGCTGGACAAGCCCTCTAGGAGCAGAGTCCATCCATTCCCCCAGCACTGCCAAGGCAGTCCCCAAGCACCACACCCAAGCGGGTTTTAAATCCCCCCAGGGCTGGTGAGTTTTACTTTCACATTGCTCCTGATTTCAGTTTTTATCTCTTTGCCCAAGCCCGATTCAGGTCCCTTTGTCACTGCACTTTCCAAGAGCAGGAAACAGAGGATTTATCCTTGTCCTGAGCGTGCAGCTGCACGTGGGTCCTCCCTCCTCTCCCAGGTTTGTGTGGGATGCAGCTCCCCCAGCCAAGATCTCCGTGCTGAGGTGACACTGACCTCTTTTTGCTGTCACCCTGCAAGGGGGGGCTGGATTTGCCATCCCAGAAACAGTGCCTGGGTGGTCCCAGCCAAAGCAGCACTTCCAAGTTTCCAAGGATCTCTGGGAAAAATTGTCAGGGCTCCCCACTTGCCCCATCCCTCCCTGCTGTCAGCACTCCTTGGTTTTGTGTGGAAACGGGGTGGCCCTGGGGGTAGCCAGGGAGAACAGACATCCGAAGGGGTAGGACTTGGGGCTTGGATTTCTTTGGGGTTTTTTTTAGTTATTATTTTTTCATGTGGACTTTGGCTGAAAATGCAAAAGCCTTTCTTCCCTTCTTCCCTTTTAGAAACGGAGGGGTCAGAGGTGCTAAGCTGAGCTGGGATTGAGTAAAAAATTATTTTAAAAAGCCCCCAAATCAGTGAATTTTACATCCTCACTTCAGTGCTTGGCTTCTTTCCAGTGAGTATTTTGCTTTGTGGTTTGCTGGAATAGTTTGTACTGGTTTATGGGGTTTTTTTGTAGCCTTTCATGTGCACAGATACCAAGAAATCCAGGATCAATATTTAGCCAGGCTCCACGTGGGCGTGTGTGCTGCCATGGAGGAGAAATCCCATTGCTGGGACTAATCTGATCCTGCTGCTTTTAGGGATTTCTTGCTTTCATCCCCTTCTGCACAAGCCACCCTGCCCCTGCCCTTGGTGACATCCCTTAATCTCTCACAGGGTGTTGTGGCATCACAGGTGGGATTGGGAAGGACAATTTCAATCCCCTTGGGAATTAGGGGTGATAAATGCCATTGGAAAAGACTTTTGTGTATGGAAAAGAAAATTTAGACATCCACGTGCTGCCCATGAGGACACAGCTGCAGTTTGGGGTCTGGGTTTCCTGACTGCCCAGCTCCTGCCAGACAAACTCCAAGCACACAAAAAGCCTTCCCAGCAGCTGATGGAATTGTCTGCCTCCTTCTTCATGGAGTCAGGTGTGTTTGCTGCTAAGAATCTGTCAGCTGGAGAGTTCACAGCTCCCAAACTTTTTGGAGCATTTTATGGCCTTGGTTCTCCTCGGGAACTGAATGCACCCATCTGAACCCCATAGAAGGGCTCTCTCCTGCTAATTTGAACAGTCATTCCCTTTTCTGCCTAAAAACAAATGTTGTGTCCTAATTCCAGGCTCCAGATTTACCTCTCCAAGGCCATACAGCCACAGGAGCCTCAGCCGACCCCCAGAATTCATGAAAGAGGTTCCAAAGGTGCTTGTGAGCATTGATGTTCATTTACAGTTGCAGGGAGGGGTCGAAGGCTTTGATCTCCCGTGACAGATCCTTAAATCCATAGCACTGGAGCTTGGGGAAAGCAGCCCTGATTCTCTGCAGCAGCGAGGAAGGCACACGGCACAGATCCTTGGGAAAATCCAGCTGTGTCCTCTGCTCCTGAGCACCTCATGGCACGGCAGAGCAGCACCACAGGCTCCCTGGCGTGCCCTCAGAAAAGCTGGGTTTGGATTTTGGTGCCAGTGCTTAAAAAAACATCACTTCTTGTGGTGAAATGACAACCTGGAGAACGGTTAGAGATTCCCAAAATTGCAGTAACTGATGTGAAACCACACATTCCTCGGGGGCGGGGGGGGAAGTAATTCCGTGTGCTGCATGCTCTGACAGCTGTTAAATTCACCTTCTTAAATGGTGTTTTTGGCTCTGCTGGTACCCAGAGCCCAGACTGAGATGTCATTTACTTCTAAGTAAGAGCTTCTAATGGATGTGATGGATTTTCCTCCACGCAACGGGGCTTGTTTTAAAATAAACACTTGACATTGGGGCTCAGAAAGCTATCAGGGCATTAATGCATCTGATGCACACACAGAGAGGGTCGTGATTTGGCGTCTTAAAATGTTTTCCCCCGAAGCTGGTGTGGATGGAATGACATGATTTATTTTTTAATGGCCCTAGATACCACAGCAGGGAGTTTTTGGTGGTTTTTTGTTTAGTTTTGTTTTTTCCTTTTTTTTTTTTTTTCTTACCATGGTTGATGAGGAGAAAAGGTCATTTGGGAAAGTTTTGCCACATGTTTCCAGATCCTGGTCTAGTGGAAGGTGTTGGGTTTTAAGGTCCATTCCAAGCCAAACCATCCTGCAGACATCAGCCCGTACAAGTGATGCTCACACCCTCTGCACCCCATCTCCCCACTCCCTGGGAAAGGGTTTTTAGCCAAATTTCTGAGTGTCTAAACATTGTGGGGCACAAGGAAGAGTCTCAGCCTCTGCTGGGGGCTGTGGAGTTGAAAACATAAATCCCAAACCCTCGGTAGCTGCATGACATCTTTATTTTTACTGGCAAGAGAAGCAGTATACACAGCGACATTGCAGTCTCTTAGCTCGTTAAAAATATCTCAATAAATAAAACAAATAAGCAACATATACACTGGAACAGAAAATGAAAACAAAAAAGAAATTTTTTTTTAAAAAATCAAAAAAGGGGGAAGGGGATGAGCGGTAGGAAATCATGGAGCAATAAGGGAGATGTGGCAGAGTGTGGAGGGCAGTCTGTAATCCAGGCTGTACTTGAAACAATTCATGCAGGGAGCTGGGGGTATAGTGGGCTTTTTTCCTTCTTTTCCTCTTTTTGCTGAGAGCCTTGGTCCAGTTTTGCCATGACTGTACAAGAAATCAGGTTTGGAATATAAAAAATAAAAAAAAATAAAAAAAAAAAAAAAAAGGAGAAGCATACAGTTAAGGGGAAGTAAAACTTGAACCCAAAGATGCCTCATAAATGTGTTCCTGAATTAAGATTGCTTCCAGAAAAAAAAAAAAAAAAAAAAAAAAAAAAAAAAAAAAAAAAAAACCAAACCAAAAAAATTAGCGATAAAACATCAAACGCAAAGACAGACAGACAGACACAAAATCCCAACAGCAATGAACAACCAGGAATGTTCTTCTCCTTCTCTCTTTGGTCAGTCGTTCTGGGGAGAGATGTTGCAAAGCCTCAGCCCCTTCTCTTTGGTGCTGTTTTGCTACTCAGTCTAAAATGCTCTGCAAGAGTTCAGAGCGAGGGAGGTCAAGAGGGGTCTTTTGGACCAGTTTTCTTGAGGTTTGTAAGGTTTCAGAAGCTACAAACTTGGATATATCCCAATTCCACTTCAGTTGCAGACACTGGACAGTCTGGAGAAACGGGAAAAAAAAAAAAAAAAGAAAAGAGAAGAAAAATAAATACACCAAATTCAGGACACGTTTCTGTGCTAGGTTGTGTGGGAAGGGCTTTTTCCCTACAAATCCAGGCTGTGGTTCATCACCAGGTGTTGAATCCTGCCCCTGGTTCCGGCAGTGTGGAGTTAACCCCGGCACTGGGTGAGATCCAGTGTGCCAGGAGCAAGTGGAAGCACAGTTCCTTAGGCTTTTGGATAGACAGCCTAAATTCAGAGTCTGGTAATGCCACAGCCTGGTTTGCACTGGAGTTTAAAATGGTAAATCCGTAGGCAGGAGCAATATATCCATCAAAACATCACAGAATCCCAGAATGGTTTGGGTTGGAAAGGACATTAAAGCTCATCTCATTCCTCCCCCCTGCCATGGGCAGGGACAACTTCCACTATCCCAGGTTGCTCCAGCCTGGCATGGAACAGTTCCAGGAGCAGGAAAATTCTGTGGGACAAGCTCCATGAGCCAGCAGCGCCCATGGGATCCCCCATCCTGCTCAGGGCAGGGACGGCTTTGCAGGCAAGGTGCTGTTCCTGCTTCAGCAAAGCCACCTCAGCTCAGATATCAAAAAGCAGATATAATTATTTCCTCCCACTCAGGAAAGCTTCCATTTAGCTGATTTCCTTTCCTTTCCCTCTCCAAGTTATTAATTATCTAATTACAACCACATTCTGCAGACCAGCTCAGGGACTTGTCAGGCTGCCCAGGACCACTCAGGAGAGCTCCACCTCTCCGGGTGGTTTGGGGATGCCCACGTCTGACAGATGATAGACTGACCCTTTCCCCATCCAGGGAGGGCTCCAGGAAAGGAAAATAAAATCCAGGGTGGACGAAGACACCACAGAGCAATTTGCTGATTTTATTTTTTTATTTATTATTTTTTTCCAGCCAGCAGAAGAAAGGGGTGGAGGATGGTCACACGAGGTTTTGCTGTGCCCTGCTCTTCTCTGAATACGGCTGACACAAAAACGAGGTAAAACCAGATAAAAAGCTGGTCTAGTTCCAGGGATTTTTTAAAATCCCACCCAAGAGCAGAGAGCTCAGCACAAAGCTGCTCCCAGGGCAGAGCTGACGTCTTTAACCCTGGCTGAGACCCCCTGCTCTGGCTGCTGCTGCCCTGGGGCCTTTCCTTCCCACTGGTTCTTTCTGGATTCCAGCTCCAGCTGCAGAACTGGGAATTCCACAGCACTTCGGTGCTAAAGGGCTGATTTTCCTCCCTGTTATGGTGAGGGGATGGTGATGGCCTGCCCTGTGGATTGTAGATGTCCAGAGCTCTGGGATGGCTCTGCCACATTCCACCTCATGCTGGTTCTGTGGAACTGGATTGGCTTTTCTGAGGTACCTTTTGACCCAAACTGTGCTGTGATTCTCTGAAATCACACTCTGAAATCACACTCTGAAATTAGGCTCTGGAATCAGACTCTGAATCTGGCTTGTGATCCTCATGTCAGCAACCTGGCCCTGCTTGCTGCAGTGCAGCTATTGCAGGGGGAAGGAAGGGCTGAGGAAGAGGGAAAATGCCCCAAAAACCTCTGTGGCCTTGCACACTTCCAGGAATGGGAATTGCTTTCTCCTGGGATTTCTCGGGGACTTCCAAGCATTTCTCTTACCCTAACACAGAACCCAGCTGTGATGCCCTGCCACAGCCCAGCTTCTTTTGTCTGACGCTTTGCTGATCCATTTCTCCCTGGTTTTGAAGCATTTCCCAGCCCCACCAGGAGCATTCCCCAGCCCAGCATGGATGTCACAGGAGTAGGGAGCTGCTGGCCTGATGGAAGGTGGCAGCAGGAGCACGGCCCTGGCTGCAGGAAATTTCACAACAGGTCCCCCAGGCTTTGCTTATACAGGATTGGGGTGGGTTTGGTTACAAAAGGATTGAAATAATTTCCGTGACATGGCCGAGAGTGCAAATGAAATGTGAAATGCAGGAAAACTGCTGGAGTTTGTTTGGGTTTTTTGGTTTTGGTGGGTTTTGCTGTTTTATTTTGGTTTTTTTTTTTTTTAAAGGTAGCTTTTCCAATTTCTTTTAAAGTTGAGGGTGTAGAAAAAAGGCTTTGCCCCAAGGGCCTTTTTTGTTTTCTTGCCCTACATCCCAGGCACATTTTAGGGTGAATAGGGAAGGAGAAATCCCATGTGGGGTTGGTTCTTCTCAGAGGTAAGGCCTGAACAAGATGGGAGAGAGCAAACACGTCAAGGTGAGGAAAATGTGGCATTCATAGAATCCCAGAATGGTTTGGGCTGGGAGGGATCATAAGGTCCATCCTGTTCCATCCCTGCCATGGTCAGGGATGACTTCCACTATCCCAGGTTGCTGCAAGCCCTATCCTTAAACACTTCCAGGGATCCAGGAGCAGACACAGCTCCTCTGGGCACCCTCTGCCAGGGCCTCACCACACTCAGAGTGAGGAATTTTCTTCCTCACTGAATCTCTCCTCTTTCTAGTGTAAAAAATTATTCTGGAATAGCCTCATCAGTAGCTTCAAGCAATGCTGGGCTACAGCACAAAAGGTGATGCTCCTGCTTCAGGAAATCACTAAAATCCCATTCCTGAGCTCAGGAGACATCATTCCTAGCTGTTTTGGGAATAACTCCTCTAAAAAGTCCTGTGGCACAGATCAATCAGAAGATCCATGGTCAGGTTTGGACACTTGGCCTCCAAGCATCCCATGGGGTGTGATCTGTTCAAAAACCTCCCAAAACTTTTGCTGCTTGAGCTCAAAATTTTCCATGCCCAATGGTGATTCCTTTCTTGCCATTGCTTTTGTCTTGTGGGCAAATAAAAAAAACAGCCCTGCTGTTTCAGGGCATGGGGAGAGTGGGAAGCTGCCAAAATTGCTGATGGCATCCCCATGACTGGGAGAATCACTGCTGAAGGGATGTTCCCAAATTCTTTCATGGAATTTTCAGCTGTCCCTGGAGCCAGAATCAATGGTAGCCACTCCACAGGGTGGTCTGGGCTGGAAGGGACCTTAAAGCTCACCCATTCCGTGGGCAGGAACACATTCCATCAGACCAGGTTAATCAGAGCCCTGTCCAATCTGGCCTTGCTTAAATTTAAATTGCTCAAATTCATTTAAATTTAAGCTTGTTTAATTTAAATATAAACCTGTTTCAATTTAAGCCTCTCCTTGTTTAAATGTTAAACCATTTCATGATTTGGATGGGGAAAAAAAAAAAAAAAAGGCACCTTAAAACAGCAGAATTCTCTTGATTTTTTGGGATAAAAGGCTAAACCTAGCAGAAATCCCTTGATTTCCACAAGCCTGGAAAGGAGGGAGCCCTGGAAAAGGCAGCAGGAGAAGGCTGCAAGGCTTCAGAGGGGAGGAAGCAGCGGAGAAAGGAATTCAGATAATTGTGTCCGTGCGAGGGGGCGGAGAGAGGGCCAAAATCAGATCGAATGCTGCGGGTAGGGACAGACTGAAACCAGATCCCCTGGCTGGGGCTGTGCTGCCTCTGCTGCTCTACCCTTATCAACCCTCTGCTCTTGAAGTCTCCCAGATGAAGGGAAAGCCACAATTATGTGCATCTTACAGCTGGGAAACCATTTCAAAAGACATCCCTGGCAGAGGCTCATTCCTGAACCTCGGGGCCCCCCTTGGACCCTCTCTCTGACTCAGCCCAGCCCTTGCAGAGCTGGGGGGATTTATCTGCCCGTGGCTGGCTGGAGGTGAAACATCCTCCCTGTATCCTGCAGCTCCCCAGTTTGTTATCAGGAGCATTTTGATGGGTGTGTGGCATGAGGAAATGGAGATTGGAGCCTTGTTTCCTCCCCCTGGGGCTGTTTCTCCCTCTCCAGACCCTCTTGTGCATCCACTGCTCGCTGACACCTCGCTGTGCGGGGAGAACGGAGGATCCTAAAGGAATGATGCCACAAGAAGAAGCCAAGGGGACATCCCTGGTCCTTTCTGCCTGGGTCTGCTCCCAGCCATTGGAGCAGGATGGAACACAGCCACGAGGTTAGGGATTGGACAATTGTGAGTGCTCCTCTCACTTATTGCCAGAAATGGCTCTGTAATTTTGCTTTAAATATTTTTTTTCCCCTCACACAGCTGCAGAAAGGGTTATTGGTGTCCATAGAATCCCAGAATGGTTTGGGTTGGAAGGGACCTTAAAGCCCATCTCACTTCACCCACTGCCATGGGTAGTGACAGTTTCCACTATCCCAGGGTGATCCAAGCCCAGTCCAATCTGGCCTTGAATGGAAAGAACCTCTTGAGAAGAAGAGAGGGATGCTCACCAAAGAGAGGAATTCAATGGCTTCTACCTGTGGGCTCAACAACTTTCCATGGAAAAACTTTGGGGCCCAAAACACCTAAAAGGAGCCAATTCTTCAACATTTCAGGTTGTAGCCCAGCTAAAATCGGTCTTGTGGGTGTGTGCTCACCACAGGGAGGAGAAGGGAATGCTGACAAGTGAAGCATTTTGCTGCTGGGATGCTCAGATGTTCTCTGTTAGGTTCTGCCTCCCTGCAGCAATATTTGGGCAGCCAGGAATGTTGGCCCCAAGGTGCTGCATCCCTCCGTCACCAGAAAGTTAAAACAAATATAAAAACAGCTTTAAACCAACATTAAAAAAAAGCTTTGAACAGAAAAGGCGCATTTCCCCCAGCCCTGCACTCCTCCACAGGCGGAGCAGGGCTGGTGGCAGCTGGAGGAGGAGGAGGCAGGTTTGAAAACCTTTTTGAAAACCTTGGCAGCACATCACTAGAAGGGCAGCTCGGAGTTGCCGAGGGGCGGAAGCCACTAATGAGCAGCGGGAGCAGGGAAAAGCAGCGGAGCTGCCCCGGGTTCGGGAGTGAGCCGGGAGCTGCCCGGCTGCCTGGTGGGTGCCTGGGGGAACGAGCACTGGGGGACTCCAGCGGCATCTCCTGAGCCAGGGCTGGGGCAAAGAGGGGCAGGAGGTGGCCCCCACCAGCCCTCCTGGCTAGCAGAGCTCATCGTCGCTTTCTTTGGCTCAAATCCACT